GGCCTGAAATGCCAAAGAAATAATCCTACAATTATATTTAATTAAAAAAGTATCATCCAAATTAAAACACAAAATTAAAAAATATCTTATTCTATACTTGCTGACTGAAGAGCATATTGGCAGTACCCATGTGAGAAATAATTTTGTCTATGGTTAATGGTATAAAGTGATACTTTTCATTTGTGTTTACTTATTGCTTCTTGGTGGTTTAGATTTTTCAATTGTAAAGTTGTGTAAATATTCTCTACAGAGAAAAGAGGCATAATATTATAGAAAAATAGAACTTAAGTGACCAAAGGGAGTCCCTGGTGTGAGTGACCAGTAAAAGCCCCTAGAGAAAATGACCTCAGAGAGCTCCTGGCACAAGTGACAAAAGAGTGACCAATGCAAGTGACCAGGGAAGACACTATGAGATGCATAGAGATGCATATTGTCCCAGAGAATACAGCAATTTGGAGCTCCAAAATTAGTACTAATTAGGGCCTCCATTTCCTCCTACATTGGAAGAATTGCGGGAAAGCTGAAACTACCTTGACTGAAAATGTAAGCAACGAAGCCCTTGAGTAAGAATTTTCCAGAGCAGAAGTCTTTGTGCAGTTAGGGAGTGTGTCATTCAGAGGTACTGAGCTCTAGCACCTGGCTGCTATCTTATTCTTGGCAAATCCATGGGGGTTGATTGTGAGGAAACAAGGTTGAAGAAAAGGCACTGTTATTTCTCAGCATAATGCAAAGTCCTAATATCATTATAAAATAGTATTCTTGCAAGATATAAAGCAGTTAGAAAAATCCTTTCTCTTCTAAAGAGTTTAGCCTCTGAAAATCTCTGAGAGGAGAGGAATTTTTTTTTGGAGAAAGGGCCTGTATAACTGGACCTGTACATATGCACACAAGCACATATAAATTTGCATGCATGTGTGTATCCAGGGATTTGTTTCTGCGTTTGTGTGTACATTCCTACAAATTCCAATTTTTGCGAGAATCAGAATGGATCATCCATTTCTGTCCAGAACTGAACTGGACAGTGTGAGTTTAAGAGTTGGTTATTATCAATTACTGACCTGGTAAAGCTTCAGACATTTCTCTAGACTCAATCTTCAGATAAGGGAATCAATACTCACGACGGATATATAGATTGATTGATTGATCCAAAGTCTTCTCTCCCTGGTAGTAATAATACACACCTATACTCTAGCCATGCCTTCTGGTGTGTGGAGTGTGTTTCCCTGCCCTTTCACTCTGAACTTGTTTGTGTGGCACACTTTGGCTACAAGGATGTTACCAGACATATAACAACAGAGGTTCGGAATATGCATGTGTGGTGGGGCTTGCCCTCTTGCATTTTCATTATTGCCATGAGAACTGCTCCAAGTAGCCCCTTCTTCCATAGAAGATGAGAAATCAGTGGAGGAGACCTGGAACCACCTCAGTTTGGAGCTAAGCCCCAGCTAACATGCAGATGCATGAGGAAGAATAAGTGGCTATTGTTGAGGCACTGTATTTTAGGGTTGTTAGTAATGCAGGATTATTGGGACAATAGCTGACCAACAAATTGCAGGGGAAGTGAGTTCTGGGTTAAGACCAGTTCCTGTGGATAGGAAGGGGGAAAAAAGAGAGAGTATGGATATCCAAGATAGAAGAAAATGAGGTCAGGAGAGCAGGGTTATGGACAGAGGTACACATGTAAGGGACTTGCATGGTGGGTTTTCTTTGTGGGTTCTTTCCTCTTTAATTATCCCAACCTTTGGTAAAGTTTGACCTGCATGTGCAGTCTTATGTGGTGTGTATAGAGAATGAAATCTGAGCTGGAACCTGTGGGAACCATAGGGCACTCTCCTAGCAGGGATTGTGTCCAGGAGTTCCAGGCAGTGACTACAGTGAAGTTGCCATGACCCACAGTAAAGCTTCAAGCAGCTGAGATGATGTTGTAATATCCATGATAAATTTTCTAGTATACCATAATGGAACAATTTAAGGTCTTTGAACTAAGGGATGCGAAGCACTGGTAGTGGACACTCAAGTAACACTTCAAGAGGATGGGTCTCTGGTATAAACTAGGTGTGTGTAAAGAAATTGTAGGTCAATTGAAGAATCATGAATTTCACAGAATCCACAATATAACAAACATATCAACTGTAAACTGCCACACTCTTCAAATTTTAGTGCATAAGAATATCCTAGGGAGTTTGTTTAAAATGAAGATTCTTGGGCTCCATTCTTTTCTGGTTAGGTCCTTTCAAATCCATACTTAGAGAAACATTGATAAACTGTTTCCTCAGTACAGCTGGAACAACCCCTAGTCTTTAGGCTAGGTCTCGCAGCTCCCAAGCCCCTTTTACAGAGGCCCTAAGTGTAATCATCCTTTTAAAAGTTGACACCAGAAGATCAGGCTTGTTATATACTCTGCATTCCCTAACCAGAACCTCCTGAATTTCTCGTCCCACCCTTGTCATCTAACCTACACCAAGCAAATTCTAATGCTTAAGGAAGGTGTATCCCCAAACTTATTTATGTGTCATGTGTTAATATCAAACCAAGTCATACTTAATTTTGTCTTGTCACTTAACCAGTTAAAAATCTGTGAAATTTCAGTTTTCAAACAAATAAAATATATCCTCTTGCCTTTTCCAAGGCAAGGTGAAAAAGGTTTATGTTTTGTTGTTGTTGTTTTGTTTTAAGGTGAAATTTATATGTAGTAAAATTCACCCTTTTTAGATGTATAGCTCTATGTGTTTTGACAAACATACTTGCAGAACTACCACCTACAAAAAAGATTTGGAATATTTTCATCACCCTAAAAAAGTTCCTTTTCCTTTTCTGTAGTCAATCTCACCCCCTTTGTCATTAGAGTTTTGCCTTTTCCTGACTATATTTGGAATCATACAGTATATAGCTTTGTTTCTCACTTTTTTCACTTAGTGTAGTGCATCTGAAGTATATCCATGCCATTCATCTATCACAGCTTGTTCCTTTTTATTCCTGAGTAGTATTCAATCATGTGGATGGACTGCAATTTATCCATTCACTAGTTGCTAGACATTTTCAGTATTTCCAGTTTGAGCAATTATGAATAAAGCTGCTATAGATTTGCATATAGGTCTTTGTGTGGGCATATATTTTCATTTCTCCTGGGTAAAAACCTAGGAGTGGGATTGGGAGGTTATATGGTAAATGTATGTCTAATTGTATAAAAAATTGCCAAACTTTCCAAGATAGTTTTACCATTTTGTGTTCAGAACCCAGCAATGAATGAGACTTCCAGTTGTTCTCCAGCATTTGATAGTCTTTTCTCTCTCTTTTTTAAAGATTTTATTTATTTATTTTTAGAGAGAGAGGCAGGGAGGGAGAAAGAAAGAGGAACATTGATGTGAGGGAGAAAAATCAGTCAGTTGCCTTTCGTATGCCCCAGGGATCTGGCCTGCAATCCAGGCAGCACCCTGACTGGGAGTCCAACTGGTGACCCTTTGCTTTGCAGGACTACACTCAACCAACTGAGCCATGCTGGTCAGGGCTGTCTTTTCTTATTTTTTAAAAATACCTTTTCTGATAGATATGATGAAGTGGTATCTCATTGTATGTATTGCTTTGAAGCAATCGCTCATGCTAGATGCAGGCATAGATAGAACTGATTACTCTCAAAGCATTTGTGGTAGATTATATTTTTCTCCCAAATCCCCTATTCATGTCTTTTGTTATGTGACTTTACATTCTCCCACTAGAGGCGGGGCATATTTTCCTCCCTCATTGATGTTGGGCCTGGACGTATACTTTGCCTTAGCCAATGGAATGTGGATGGAAGTAATAGTACCCCATTCTTGCTCTAGCCTCAAGAGGCCCTGTAAGTTTCCACTCACCTTTCTTGTGTTTCTTCCATTGTCATAAGGAAAATGAGTTCTGGCTAGATCAGTCAACCTGCAGGTAAAGGGTGTGAGAGTCTATTTTTCTTGCTTTAAGCCACAGCATTTTGGGCTGATTCCTTAGACAGCATCATTATGGCAACAGTCAACTGATACAGCTTATTTCACTGTGTGGCAAACTTTGTTGGGTGCTTACCCATGTAAATTCTTTCCTTTATAATTGCTTTGAGATTTTACAAAAGAAGATAATATATGTATTTTATAAGCACATTACTCCAAATGATTAGTCATCAGAAAAATGCAAACCAAAACCATAATTACCCACAACTGCATACCTATTAATAGTAAAAATTAAGACTAATGATATCAAATGTTAATGAGGATATGGAACAACTGGAACTGTCATATACTACGAGTGAGGTGTAAAGTAGAACCACTTTGGAACACTCTTCAGCTTCTTGGATACTTGTTATTTACAACCAAGTATAATCTCAACAGATTTGGACTTTCTCTGTTAATGAACTGAGTCCATGATACTAAATCTCCACCCTGTTTTCCTGACCTCCTGGACCATGCTCAGTTTTAGAATCTTAATTGTTCTGGTCAGCCCTGGCTCAGGTACCTAAGTGCCAACTTCTTTTTGTAGATCAGATCAGACTTACTGATCAAGTGATCAGGCCAGTCCCAACTTTCCTTACACTTCTCTGAAGTACTCAGACTGATCCCAGAGTTCCCATGCAGTCACTGTTGACTCTCTATGTTGTGCTAAAACTCGCAGACTCTCTTTTCATTCCTTCAAGTTATTTTTCTACTCAGCTAACTACTACTTAGAACTTTTTTACTTTTTGAAAATGGAAATATTTGCATTTTTCCCCTAAGTACTAGTAAAGCTTGACTTCTTACTGGCACTTTGTACCACTGTGCTCTCATGCCTATAACTTTTTTCATCATAGCACATTGTGTACACAATATAAATGTGTATGTCAGTATTAAAATAGTGTCTGTCTCCCTAACTAGATAGATGTTAAGCTTCAGAAGGACAGGAACCATCCTCTTTTGTTTACATATTTATTCCCTTTACATGCAGGTGGCCACATGATACTCCCTGAATGGTAATGAATAAATGAACAAAAAACTTCCACATCGTTTAGTGGTGGCAAGCAGACTCCTAATTTATTAATGCAGATTATTGTTCATACCATGACATTTTTTGGAAAAACTTACAAAGCCATGAAGACTAGGTTCACTAAAATACCTACACTAGCTATGTAATTTCAAAAGGACAATTACAAGAAATCAACAATCATTTTTCACTTCATGTTAATTTTCTGACACCTTTTTCATGTTACTTATTAAATTCCTTATCTAGTCAGGAGGGCTTATCTCCTATTTTGCTGAGTAAATACTGGTCAGTTTTAAAAGAAGAAAGGGGTCATCAGGATAGAGGGTATTATGCTAAGTGAAATAAGTCAGTCAGAGAATGGCAAATACCATATGATTTCACTTATATGTGAAAGCCAAAGAACAATATAAATGAAAAAAAAAAAAACCCAGAAACAGACTCAAAGATACAAAGAACACATTGATAGTTGCCAGCTGGGAGGGGTTTTAGGGAACTGGATGGAAAAGGTGAAGGAATTGAGAAGTACAGATTGGTAGTTATAAAATAGTCCAGGTATGTAAAGTACAGCATAGGGAATATAGTCAATAATATTGTAATAACTATGTATGGTGCCAGGTGGGTACTAAGAATATTGGGGGAACACTTCGTAAAGTATATGACTATCTAACCATTCTGCTGCACACTTAAAACTAATACAAAATAATATTGAATGTAAACTGTAATTGAAAAAATTTTAAATGTTTTAAAATTTTTAAAAAGGGTGGTCAGGAGAGGCTTCACTGGGACAGTAACAGAACCTTGAAGGAATAGAAGGAACAGCTTTGTAAGGATCTGTCTAGGTGTTATGGGCTGAATTGTGCTTCCCTTACTTCCAAATTCATATGAAGTCCTTCCTCCTCACCCCCACTTCAGATTGGAACCATATGGGTGATAAGGCCTTTACAAAAGTGATTCAGTTAAAATGAAACCTAGTAAGTGTTGTGCCCCTGCCTTTTGATAGCAAGATAACCAGTGAAAAATATTTTATACAGGTAAGATTGAGTTACTGGGTTAAATAAGATGAAGACTGACAAATGTCCTTTGAATTATCAGTGGTGACCTCAGAAAGAGCCCTTTGGTGGAGTTATGGGCATGAAAGCCTGACTAGTGTGTTTGAGAACTGAAAACACGTTTTTTAGAACACTAAGTTTTGTTGTGCTTGTAGGAGCAAGAAAATACGGTGCAAGAAGGAGAGGGAAATTGGGCTTTTTACGTTTTTGCTTTCTGACGTTAATAACAGCATGTTTAAGTCAATACATTTTTTTAAAAAAATCTTCACAGAAATTTGATGGGCAAGAGCCTCCCAATCACTCTCATCTTTGATGCTATTCTTTTGAATACACAGCAGACGGATGCATCTTCATAAACCACAATTTTCATCCTTTCACTCCTTTGCTAAAAAATCTTCAGGGTGTCCTTAACTGCTGAATGAAGTTTCAATTCCTTAACTGAACATTCAAATCTTCTACAGTTTTGCCTTTTGCAGTTTTGGTTTTCTTCTCTAAAGCCCTGTAGTGAGGTACAAAGCATGCCACATCAGGGTCAGAAGGCTTCAAGAAATAGTTCTGCAAATAACTACATCTGAGACCTTAGACGACTTGCTAGAGTGCACCGCCGCGCCTGGGCCGCGCCTGGGCCGCGCCTGGGCCGCGCCTGGGCCGCGCCTGGGCCGCGCCTGGGCCGCGCCTGGGCCGCGCCTGGGCCGCGCCTGGGCCGCGCCTGGGCCGCGCCTGGGCCGCGCCTGGGCCGCGCCTGGGCCGCGCCTGGGCCGCGCCTGGGCCGCGCCTGGGCCGCGCCTGGGCCGCGCCTGGGCCGCGCCTGGGCCGCGCCTGGGCCGCGCCTGGGCCGCGCCTGGGCCCGTTCCGCTAGTTGAAGAGGAAGGGGCGTGTCAAGTAGACTAGACCATCTGTTAGAGCACTGGCAGGTCCTTACCAGTCAGCAACTTAGGGGCCGCACGCAGTATTGGCTCCAGAATCTGCCTCATCCTTTCTACTTCTAAACACATGGCTTGAGAACTCACTTATGTTTCCGGCTTTGTTTTCGCCTTTCCAAAAAGACGAGGCTCTAGAAGAGCCACAGCAGCACATCCTATAAGGTCGGTCGCCTCCCGACCACCCGGGACTCGCTTTCAGCTCTTCCTTTCCCTAGTGTCTGTACTTTCTACACTCACAATTTGCCACGTATTAGGTGCCGCTTCCAACCAATCAGGAAGAAATGATCTCAGAGTTTTGAGGGGCATCCACTTCCACCAATGAACTTCCAAGATTCTGCTGCGGCTGCTGTTGCTTTGGGTTGAGGAGTTCGCCAATGAGGTAAGAAGGCTGCGGGGAGGGCGGGGCGCTTCTTGGGGTAACCGCTTCCGGGACAGGGCCGGGCCTCGGGCGGGGACAATTCAATTTGATTGGCAGATGTGATGTAGACAACCGGGGAAAGCCCACCGTCTCCAACAGGACCGGCCCGGTTCCTTGAGTGGCAGTGGCCTCAGCCAATCGGAGAGCAGACGCGCGGAAAGTTTGCTTAATGGGTGCTGTCGGAGGGAGGCTGTCACTCAGGTGGTGGCAGGCTCCAAGCTAAGACGTGGCGGGAGGTTCTGGGCTAGGTGTCCGGAACCTCGGGGCGGCGGGATCCCTAGCACGTCCTCTGTTGATCGGGTGCTCAAACCCACGTGAGAGGCGGGCACCGGCAGCTTCACTTCCATGCCCGCGCACGGTCGCTGATGGAGCGCGCAGCCCGCCCGGGGCCGTTCGCGCGGTTTCTGTTACTGCCGCTGCTTCTGGGGCTCCTGGTGCGGACCGAAGCTGCGGGGCGCGACCCCGACCAAAGCGCTCCGGCGGCAGAGGTGGGGTTCGGCTTTGGGGCCGCGGCCGCTCCCACCTCGGCCGCGCTTCCGGCTGAGGTGACGGTGGAGGACGCCGAGGCGTTGCCGGCGGCCGTAGACGGGCAGGAGCCGCGGGATTCAGAGCCGAACCCAGATAACGAGCTGCGGCCGCGCGGCAGGTGAGGAGCGAGAGCTGAGAGCCAGGGCCGCCTTCCCTCGGCCAGCGACCGGTGTCGTTCGGCTCCGGCCGGAGAGCCAGTCCTGGAGGGTGTCTTGGGGAATGCTCGCAGAATGGAGCGCAGAGATGGGAAAGAAACTCCACTTTCCCACTATTTGGGGCTTTATTCAGACTTCAAGGAATTTTCAGTCCGCCTGCTCCTCGATAACCCCTTTTTTCTTTCGTGAGTCGCCAGTGAGCTGTGGTGGTATGACAGCTGTTTTGGGAAAGGATTTCACAAACTAATTTCTGCATTTTCTCAACACAATCCTGTGGTGCCTTGGAGTAGGGTTAATGTCAGTATTTGTCTAATTGAGATCTGCAGACCATCTGCAGCAGAATCACGTGGGGATGCTGGTTAACTATAGTTTTCTAGGCCTCACCCCCAGATCTGAATCAAACTTTCTCTGGGTAAGAACCTGGAATCTGCAGATTTAACAAGCACACCAGACAATTCTTGAACACACTAAAGTTTAAGAGTTATGGATAGGTTCTTGAATTCTGGCAGTTTTGATATGTAGAGAATTTACTGTATAAGTATTAAATATGGGATTGAGTTGGTTAACCTTGAAAATGGTACTTCAAGATTCGTGTTTTAAAGCACGTTTCAAAGTCTGGACACAAATGTAAGGCATTTTAATGCTGAAGTGTTTTGCAGACAGCTGTCTTAGCACACCTGAGGAGAAAGTGAGGTCCCATTTAACAAATGGAATAATACAAGGAGCATTAGGTAAATTAAACTAGGGAGGGCTACAATGTGGGTTACAAAGTATTGTAAGTTTATAATGCTGTAATCATTAGATCATAATAAGTAGATTTAATGATCAGGTAAATATCAGAATCTTCACCTATGTACCTGCAGACTACTATAAATAGAATAATAAAATTCTCTTAGCACCACTTGAATGATATATTTTTTAAAGTAGCAAATATTTGGCAAAATTTTCATAGTTTTTGCTAATGAATTAACTTTCCTGAAAGGGTGTTTTATCTGGAAACTTCTGAAGTCCTACTCAAAGTAAGTTGCATAAAGTGAGATGTTTAATTTTTCTTAGAATACAAATCCACCACAGTAGGTACTTAAGGGCACTTACAAAGGCCCTCTTGGGTACCCTGGGGTTACACAAGGTGGACAAGATAGTTCTTGCCCTTCTGGAAGAGTGTGGAGTTTAGCCGAGGGTTACATGAGCCCCATAATGGCATTGCAGAGCTTAGGCAGTGCAAATTAAGTGCCATCAGTGTCTCCAGGTTTTTGTGGTGTTCAGTGGGTGGAGTAGAATGGGTGAGGTAGATGAGAAGATAAGCAAAGGCTATAGCAGAATGAATTGATTCCTGTAAAGTGGTTAGACTTGTGATGAGCAGATACAGGACTTGAGACAGCAAGAGGCATAGAAGCTGGGAAGTATGTTTAAGGAACAATTTGTGTACCTCTGTGTGTCAGTGTGCGTGAGACCTGTGTGTATGTGAGAGGTACATGGGGTGGCGCTGGGTAAGGAGGAGTAGAAGATGAAACTAGAAAAGTAGATGGGGGCCGTATTGTATGACTTTACACTAGTAGCATGGTTATCACTTGGGAGCGTGTTAGAAATCCGGAATCAGGCATCACCCAGACCCACTGAATAAGTATCTGTGCTTTAACAAGATCACCATGTGCTTTACATGCCCATTACAGTTTGAGAAGTGTAAAGTATCTCAAATGCCATGCCTGATTAAAGTTTTTGCTTAAGAAATATTTCCCTAGCAATACCATGTACTGAAAACTTGAGGTAAAGATACCACAAGGAGAGTATTGTAGCAGTTTAGGTGAGAGGTTTACTATTCACTGGACATAGAACAGAGGGGATATATTTGAGGTGGAATCTCGGTTCCTAGCAAATGAATCGATTCTTCCTCTCTTGGAACTCCCATTCAAAGATTGAGACTGGGTGGCCAGAAATTGAGAGCACACATGGGACAATTGAGGGATGTAGGAGAGCAGGGAAGAAAAGATAGGGGTTTGGTGTTGAACATGGTAACTTGGAGGTCCAGGAAGGTGTAAATGAGTGACTGAAGTTGGAGAGCAGTCAGGATAAATACTTGAAGCTGTGAGAAAGAGGAGACTCATGGTAAATCCTCAGGAAATGCCTTATATTTTAGAGAACATGGGCCAGCAAAGTAGACAAATACAGCTGGATAGGTTGGTGGTGTAGAGTGAGGACTAAGAAGAATGTGGGATTTGGTGATGAGCATAAGTAAAGAGTTTAAGTAAAACAATAGAGAGTACTCAGGTAGCAAGAGAGAGGTTAAGTATTCATCTTTTTCAGCTCCAGCCCCTCCTTCCCTCACTGCTAAACTGATAGGAGGCAACTTTGAGGACCACAGATGTCTGATCTTATTTATACACTCAGAGGAGAAGACCCCACATACACAAGTTGAAAAAGGAATGGAGAAGGAGGTGGAAGTAGTTGGAGACAATTTACTTGGCAAACAGGAGAATCACTTCTTTTGTCAGGAACAAAGTAAAAATAGAGGGATTCTGCCTGGCAGAGAGTAAGTGTTCTTTGGCAGACAGTTTTCTAGGAAGACATAGGCCCAGGTGTAGGGGTCTGCCTGGTAGCTTAAGATAGTGTGGAAAGTTTGAGAAACCTTGGGTAAGTAAATTGATAAAGCCAACAGGAAGTAAGTATGCAATGTTTATAAAACTTTTCTCTAAATGCTCTTTTAACAAAGAGATTATCAGTTCATAATAATAGACCAATATCCTGTTTGCTTCAAGAAGGAGGATTAGGGGAGAGGTTTGAATTAAGCAAGCATTAATTACAAACAGCTGTGAAGAATTATGTTACTTGCAAAACTTTTAAAAAGAGGGAGGTGGGGAATAGATTGTCATTTTTGCATATTGTCTTTTGATGCCCAAGAAGCTGTATGAGGCTTGCTAATTCTTCCTTCTCCCCTCCCGTCCCCTCCCCTTTCAGAGAGGGAGAATGAGAGAAAAACTTCAATATGTTGTTCCACTTATTTATGGATTCTTTGGTTGATTCTTGTATGTGAGCTGAGCTCACCAGGGATCAAACCCTCAACTTTGACCTATCCAGAGGATGTTCTAACCAACTGACCTCCCTGGAGCAATTTTTTCTCTTGATGGCATTTTCATTGGCTTCATGATAAATACATCCTTTGAAGTCTGAAGCATGTGAATGAGTGAATAAACTATTTTTTCTTTAAAAAGTAGCAAAGATACATGTATTTTTCTGATAGCAGTCTTGTTGTCACTCCTACTTCTGTTAAAAATTACAAAGACTTGAAATTCAAATGGGATGGTGACTGTAGAAAGTTGGGAAGAAAGTCACAGTCTCACCTCATTATTAAGTTTTATGCAAGTTGGCATAACTTGAGTTACTAGTTTTCTGATTCCAGTGGCAATAGCAATTTACAAAGTATTATGGTGATTCTTGTGGTGGCATGGGCATCTTCATATTGAGGACATCTAACAAACCTCAGAAGTTGTCAAGAACTAGTTTTATGCTACCAATCATGCTAATTTGTAAAATACTGTTTCTTTGTCTTCTGATTAATTCCCCTGTAACAAAAGTACTACAAAATTTGATGGCCTATGGTGCTTTTTAAATTGGTGCATATTTTTTAAAGATTTTATTTATTTATTTTTAGAGAGGGAATGGAGGGAGAAAGAGAGAGAGAAAGAAACATCAGTGTGCGGTTGCTCGGGTCATGGCCTGCAACCCAGGCATGTACCCTGACTGGGAATCGAACCTGCTACACTTTGGTTTGCAGCCCGCGCTCAATTCACTGAGCTATGCCAGCCAGGGCTAATTGGTGCATCTTTAAACTGATTTTTTAAAAATTTAATGAGATAGCATGAAAATACTCTAAATGTAAGATAATTTCATTCCTCTTTATTTCTCTCTGTCCTTTCACAAACTGATGTGATGTGAATTTGAAGTACAGAACTCTGGTCCTCAGATTTTCAGATTCATAAGCATGCTTTTGTTAAAACAGTAAAATATGACCATGGAATAATAAAATCTCAGAATACATTGTTGAAAATGGACTTTTCTGATTGCAGACTTTCAAAGTTGACTAAAACGCACATTTAAGGAAGAATTTATGCATACTTCAAGGCAGTTGTAAGCCAAAAATAAACATACTTCAGCGAAGAGTGGACTAGCCCTCCTGTCTACAATTGTCTTTTTAGTTTAATTGACACCTGG